TTTTTTGAACTAAAGACTATTAGGCTTGATTTTGTTTGGATTAAAAGATGGTCTTTTTTTTCTCACACCATAATTTGTATTCTTGACATTTATCTACAAATAGCGACGCTTGATCCAAAAATTTTGAATTAGGGAACGTAGAAAAATCTTACCAAGATAATAGCGTTATCAAAAAACATAGCGAAGGAGATAACATGGCGAGTGAGACTTACTACGTGGTAGCCACATCATATAGCTAATTGTAAGATTGGTTGATTTGTTGAGTGGTTATTTTAGAGTTAGTTAGAGGTTGTTTCCGTAATTAGTAGATCACAAAACACGTGATCAATTTTGTTTGTTTTGTAACGTATATACGGGGTCCTATGTACTGAAATAGACGAGCAGAGTTTATATACTTTTTTGGAATTCCGTCTGTCATTTCAAAAATAAGAAATAAAAGAAGTAGCAGATTTTTCCCTCTTTTCATGGTATCGAGCCTGAGTCTAAACTTTGTTCTTTATTCTTCATTGCTTTAACAATGGCGTCTATTCCATTTACGGAAGATCCTCAATCTCCTTTTTTCCTTCATCACACCGACAATCACGGTATTGTGATTGTCTCTCCACGACTTACTTCAAGCAATTTTTCCACTTGGAGTCGATCCTTTTCGTTGGCGTTGTCAATACGCAATAAGACTGGCTTTATTGATGGATCAATTGAAGCACCGGACGGGGATGATATCTCATTTGGACCTTGGTTAAGGTGTAACAATCCGATCATATCTTGGCTACTAAGATCAATCTCTCTTCCAATTGCAGCCTACAATTTTCCATATGGATTCAACTGCAGAGATTTGGAGAGTCGTTGAAGAAACATTTCTCACATGTGGATGATTCTAAAGTGTGTAATCTACAACACACACTCGAGTTTAATCACTCAAGGAAATCACTCTATTGATGAGTATTTCACTAAATTGAACTCTGTTTGGGAAGAATTGAGGAACTATAGGCCACTCGCCACACTCGTGAGTGCACTAAGTGCAATGCAAATTGTTTTAAGAAATACATTGATCTTCATCAAAAGGATTGTGTGTTTCGATTCCTCAATGGATTGAATGAGTCTTATGCGAGCATTACGATTTAATGTGATCATGATAAAGCCTTTTCCATCGCTTGATGAAGTATATAACCCGGTGATTAGATAGGAATCTAAAAAACGAATTAACTCGTTATCAACCTCCTTTTACAAAAGCTTCAGCTATGGCCGATAGAGGTGTGTTTCGTAGTAGATCCGGGAATACCATTGTATTCACACATTGTGGAAAGACAGGTCACACCAAGGATAGGGGTTTTTGATTGGTTGGTTTTCCAAACAATCCAAGATTTACTAGAGGAAGACATGCTCCATCATCCACTACCAATTTTGAGTTTGCTAGGGGAAGAAATAATTTCTCGGGAGTGAATGCGGTGCTCAAACGGACGAGTGAAGATATTCCTTCATTCACCGATAAAGTAGATTGTCAACGTAACTCTTCTCTGAATGCTACCACTCCGAAACAAAATCACGAGCATTATTCACTCAACATCAAATTCAGCATTTGTTAGCTATTCTCGATGAGCAATTTGCCTCGACTTCGGTTCATCTAAGATTTCATCGGATGTTATAGGTAATGCTGGAAAAGAATCTCCACACTTTTGCTTCACACAATTATCACATAACTCAACACATTTCATGAATAACACTATTTGGATTATCGACACAGGAGCTTCGGATCATATAGCATGTAGTCTAAGTTTTTTTTACTTCTTTTCATACCATTGATAACACTTTTATGGTCATGCCAAATAGATCTAAGGTTCTAGCAACTCACTTTAGTATAGTAGTCCCGTCCTCTCGCATTGATTTTATACAATGTTCCGTTCGTTCCTTCAGTCCAATTCAACCTTATATCCGTTAGTAGCCTTACACATACCAAAAGGCTTGTCGTTAATTTCGGTGGTGATTACTTGTTTCATTCGAGCAGTACCCTCTTGGACGGTGATTGGACTTGCTAAGGTTAATGGAGGACTTTACCTGCTACAACACTTTACTCGCTCTCTCTTACCCTTCAATACTCAATAGTCAAGTTTCCCGTTCTAGACATAATCTATGTTCGCAAATAATGTAGTCCCCGTCCTTGATGTCAATGATTGCTTTGATCTTTGGCACTTTTGGTTAGGACATTTATCTTCCGTAAAATTAGATGTCATTCATAAACTTTGTAATAATGTTCAATTTATCTCTAAATTAAATAAAATACCATGTGTTATATGTCCTATGGCCAAACACAAACGTCTTACCTTTTCAATTCATGAACAAATCACTACTATTCCCTTTCGATTGATCCATATTAATATATGGGGACCTTATTCATATTCTCGCACATGGTGGTTTTCAATATTTCTTAACCATAGTTGATGATTTCACCCGCATGGCATGGGTGTTTTTTATGAAAACCAAATCCAATGCCAGTTCCATCATTCCTAGTTTCTTCAATCTTATCCAAACTCAATTTGGCTTTGCCATAAAGTAAGTTCGATCGGATAATGGTCCGAATTCAAGTTACCACACTTCTATTTTGAAAAGGAATCTTACATCAATTATCTTGTGTGGAAACCCCTCAACAAAATGGCATTGTTGAAAGGAAACACCAACACTTACTCACTACTTGCTAGAGCTTTGCTTTTCCAATCTCATCTTCCAATTTCTTTCTTGGGGGATGCAATCTTGACGACCACTTACTTAATCAACGGACTACCTTCACCGAGTGTTACGTAACGTAACACCATTCGAAATGTTATTCCATAAACCAGCCTTATATACTCATTTAAAGGTTTTTGGGTGTTTATGTTTTGCCTCTACCCTTACTCATGGTAGAAAAAAGTTTGACTCTCGATCTAGACAAGTGCATTTTCATTGGTTATCCTAATGGTATGAAAGGTTACAAGCTTTATGATCCGAATTCTAATTCGTGTTCATATCTAGGGATGTTATTTTTCATGAATGTGTTTTTCTCTTTTCTCATAAGCTGAGACTTTTCTCTTCTTCATCACATCACTCTCCAAAACATTCAATCTCTATCCCACATTGTCGGTTTCTTGGTGATTATGCTAATATGACGGAGATGCATACACATAGCCCCATATCTTCATCCGGTCATATTGACCAACCTATTTTGTCCGATATTTCACATTATTCCGATGATGCTCATGACATTATACCATCCTTTATAACCCCTTCCTCACCAACTCGACATTACCACTTTTTTGGACATTCCCGTCGGGAGAAGTAGCAGACTTCGACAACCATCTTCCTATATGTCTTCATATCATATAAACTTGGTCACTACATCTAATTCCTCTCATTTGACTTGTTCCATTGCCTTTTCTATTCATTATTGTGTCTCATTTGCTAGGTTATCTTCCTCCCACACAGCGTTCCTTTCATCTCTCTCCAATCTTAATGAAGCACATTCCTTCCAACAAGTTCGTTAAGGTTGCTCATTTGAGAGATGCTATAAAAGCCGAGCTTGATGCTCTCGAATTGAATAATACCCGGATAATTGTTTCTCTTCCTCCTAAGCATCACGAGTATCGACCGCAAATGGGTATACAAAGTTAAAGTCCATGCGGATGGTTTGATTGACGAGTACAAAGCAAGATTAGTAGCTAAAGGCTACAATCAATAAGCTCGGTTATGATTTTCGGGAGACATTAAGCCCGGTGGTTAAGCAAACCACGGTTCGTGTGTTTCTTGCTTTGGCGACTACTTAGGGTTGGCTATTGTCATAGATGGATGTTAATAATGCCTTCCTTAATGGTGATTTAGAAGAGATAGTGTATATGGATATTCCTTTGGGGTATCGAGCGCAGGGGAGTACACAAGACTTGTTTGTCAACTTAGAAAATCTTTATATGGATTGAGGCAAGCATCATGATAGTGGAACTCAAAACTTACTTAGGCTCTACTTTCTTTTGGTTTTGTTCATTCTAAGGCTGATTATTCCCTATTTACCAATAGAGTTACATCCGACATTTACCTTGCTTTACTTATCTATGTTGATGACATAGTTATTGTTGGTAATTCCGAGGATGCTATTACGGAATTCAAGTAATTTTTGCATACTCAATTTAAGATGAAAGATCTAGGACAATTGAAGTATTTTTAGGGATTGAAGTAGCCGGGTTGGACAAAGGGATTGTTTTATGCCAAAGGAAATATGTGCTTGATCTGCTAGAAGAATTTGGCTTATTGGGTGAAAAACCAACCGCTACTCCGGTCAATCCCAGATGAAAAACTTACACGAGCGGACTTTGACTTACTTACTAATCCTCGCTATCTATAGATAATTTGTTGGGAAGCTTTTATATCTCAACTTCACTGAGCTCGATATATCCTTTCGCCGTACGTACACTATCATAAGTATAGGGATAAGTTCGTCTCGATCCTATCTCGTGGAAGCCTTCAAAGTTTTAAAATACTTGAAGAAAGCTCGGTAAAGGCTTGTTGTTACCTTCATCTTTTGATCTTAGGCCGACGACTACAGGTGATAATGATTGGGCAAGTCTGCAGGGATACTAGAAGATCGGTGATTGGCTATTCTATGTTTCTTAGTAAATCCTTTGTCGACTGGAGATCAAAGAAGCAAACCGTTGTGGCAAGGAGCTCGATCGAAGCTCGAATATAGAGCCATGGCCACAACATGTCGTGAGGTCATGTGGTTACTCAATTTGTCGTCAAACTTAGGATTTGAGCATAAACGGACAATCGTGCTCAAGTGTGACAACCAATTTGCCATTTGCATTAGCCAAAATCCAATCTCCGTATGAGAGAACCAAGTATATAGAAATGGATTGCCATTTCATCGGAGAAAAGGTTATTCGCTGGAATTTTAAAGCCGAATACATCCCTTCGTCGACCAAATAGTAGACTTATTCACAAAGCCACTTCACCCTTCTCAATTTGAAGTCCTTACAAACAAGATGAGCATGATTGACATACATGCTCCTCTCGGAGAGAGTATCGGAAAACATAGTGAAGAAGATGACATGGCAACGAGGCTTACTACGTGGCGACCACATCACATAGCTAATTGTAAGATTGGTTGATTTGTTGAGTGGTTATTTTAGAGTTAGTTAGAGGTTGTTTCGTAATTAGTAGATCACAAAACACGTGATCAATCGTGTATGTTTTGTAACGTATGTATAGGGTCCTATGTATTGAAATAGTCGAGTAGAGTTTATATACTTTCTTGTAATTTTGGCTTTCATTTAAAAAATAAGAAATAAAGGAAGTAGCAGATTTTTCTCTCTTTTCAAGTGTATTTAGTTATTGTAGTCTTGGCAATTTTTGGTTTTGTTCCGTTATGCAAAACTGGTTTTTGATTCTAAAAAGAAAAAAAAATCACTCGGTTTTGTTTGTTTATCATTATCGCTATTTTTTTTTGGTGAGTTCAATAAATGTTATCACTATAAAAAAACGGTTGATTTTGACCAATTTGCTATCAAATATTTTGGTTCGTAACTTTAATAAATTTATTTTTTAAAAAAATCAAGAAATGGGGATAGTTTGGATAGTTTTGCTCATACCATGTTACATTTGTATTTCTTTATCTTTTTATTTATTAATGTGGTCAAATTTCATTAAAATAAAAATAAATAAATAAATAAATGGCCGGTGTATAAATAAATTAAATCCTCCAACATCCCAATATATGCGGACCAATGTCACAACCTAATGGTTGGTAAACAACATTTAACATTATTTTAACCTTATAGTTGTTTATGTGTTTGTATTTTCAACATTCAATTTTGCTCTTATGTTTTCAATTCGATCAATCTATTCTTATGTTATTCAATTTGAATTAATTGAAATCAATTACTAAAGTTTTTGAATCATACATTTGCTTTGGGTGGTGTAGTATTAAATACGTCCGGTGAAAAAAGATACAAACAAAATCAAGAAAAAAGACAGAGAGGATGGGACATGCGAGACAAAGCAAGAAAAAAAAAAAAGGAATAAAGATGTCCCAAGATTTAATGAGAGATCAATTAGGATATTAGGGTTTTTCATTTTTATTTTTTTTTATCTCTTCTCTCTCTTTCTTTTTTCTTTTTCTTTCCTTTTTCTTTTCATTTGTCTCTCTCTTTTTTTTCTTTTCTAATTGAGCCTACATATATAATGTCATGTTATCCACAACTAACACATTTTAGTAATTGGTCTTAATTAATTCAAATTGGATAACACGAGGACATGTTGAATAAAGTAAAAAATAAGGGAAAATTGACTACCGAATACAAACAAAGGAACAAACTAGAGGATTAGGCCACTTAACATTCATCCACAAATTCAATAGGAAAATTTTGAATTGCGTATCAAGAGAACTCGCGTATCAAGTGTGTTGTAGTCTTGACAATTATTGATTTTGTCTTGTTTCGCATAAATTGGTTTTTGATTCTCAAAGAAAAAAATTAGTGGTTTTGTTGTTTTATCATTATTGCAACATTTTTTGTGTGCTCAATACATGTGTCACTACAAGAAAACTATTGATTTGGGACCACATTTCGGACCAAAATATTCAATCCTACCCTTGGTATGCTTGATTCTAGAAAGATCAAAGCTCGAGTTTATAAGAACATAATAATGTTGTTTTGATCAATAATTTCATTGATTAAAATAGTATTTGGACCAAAATGTAGTTACTTTTTATTTTTTACTTATCATAAAATATATAAATTACTTTATTAAATTAGCTTTTTTGAAACGCATAATTTTTAAATGAAGACAATGCTTGCTCTTATCAAAAACGAGTCTTGATCATTTTTTTCTCTATCCTTTTACTTTATTAGTTAAATTAAATTAGAGAAAGGATAAAAAAGGGAAAAAAAAACAACAACATAAAACTTTGGTAAAAGAAGTAGAGGCCACTTCGTGTACACATGCATTTTCTTTTTTCACATTTTCTTAATTGTGAATTTAATTTCAATTAGTGATTATTATAAACGGAAGTAGCTATTGGCAAAAAATTCTTTGGTTTAATGGTAAATTATACCCTAAAAATATTAGAATTTGACAATTTCGAATCCAAAGTATCTAATTGGATAGTTTAAACCTCAAAGTTTTGAAAATTGAAAAAATATGATTCAAATTGCTCAAACTTTACTTGATTTTTTTTTTTAAATGGAAGTTGAGAGAATTGAAAAGGGGTAAGACAAATGAAAGAAATAACAAATATTGAATAATTTGGATCACATTTACTCAATCTCCATCATTTTATGATTCAAATTACGTAATTTGATACTTTTGGTTCGAAATTGTCAAATTACAATACTTTGGGGGTAAAATTTATCAGAAAACCAACATTCTTTATCTTTTTAAAATAAAATATCTAAATTATCCTCAAGGTTTATGTTAAAAAATTGAACGCATTGAATATTGATTTGATAGTGTTTTTTTCTTTCTAGCGTGACGTTACCTTAGGTACTAACCACCAACACTGAAAACACCATCAAAACCAACAACCTAGAGTCCAGCCCAAACATTGGTCCAATATAAAAAAGCAGCACCATTTGATATATCATGAAATAATGGACCACTCAAACATTGGTCCAATATAAAGCCCAATTCCCTCGAGAGTCCAGCTCAAAAGGCTCTCCGCGAACAAAAACCCTTACACCCGGGCGCCCACTCCCGAGAGAATTTCTCTTACTAGAAACGCTATTCATTGCTAGAAACTCCAGTTCATTGCATTATAAAACCATAAGCCTATTTTTTTTTTGCAGCTTCTCTACTTTATGGCTATGGTTGAGGTGGTGACCGTGTGATGAAGAAAAAGATGGTGTTTAGGGATTGCTAGTGGAAGGACGGTTGTTGTGATGATTATCGAAAGCTCAAATTTTTTTTTCCTTTTTCATACTAACTAAGATTTTTAGATGAATAAAGGTGAAATTTTCTTTTCCTTCAACAGTAGGATTAATTTTCAGAAATGCTGCATCCTCAAAAACTCTCTTTTACATAATTGCTCATTCTTCAAACTCGAATTACAAGTGTAAGCAACATTCTATTTACCATCCAAACTCAATTTCAAGATTCAATCTACTAAGATTCTTGAAAAAAATAAAAGAAAAAATTATTAGAGCTAGATTTAAGAGAATTTATTCATATGAATGCACCAAATCAATATGAAAATATAGTATTTTTTTTTCATGGATGAGATTTAAATAATGTTCTGTATTACTCTCTAATACTTGAAAAGTAATACTCGTTTCGTAGGTGGGTTTGCTTGCTTTTTGTATTATTATCTCGTTTTTTTTATTACAACAAATAAATTCCTTAAGACTACACCAATTCATGTATGGATAGTTTGCATAAGATTCTAACTAAAAAGAGACTTAATGAGAAAATTATCAGAAAATATGATCATTGTAAAAAATAAAAATAAAAACAGTACTTGGAAACTAAGCTTCTGAAAATACAAGTTCTCGATCAACATGTATACGCGTAAATATGAACTCACTGTGATCAAGGCCATGGGAAATTAATCCTATTAAATGAGACCTGCCCGTATGATCATATACTAGTGCTCACGCAACTGCAAGGAATTAATTAATGCACCTACTTGTGTAAGTTTTAAGAACATATTTGCTCGAGAAACGTGAAAATAATTTCTTGATGCAATTATATGGTACTGAACTATTCAAAATTAATTAAGCACGTCAGAATTAATATTCTCTTCCGACGATAGTCTCCACGAAAAAAACGTATTATTTCATGGTATCTCCATTTCCATCTTTGTGATATCACACGATTAGCGAAATCATTGGCACAATTAGATGTTAAATTTAAAGTGGAGCTCCACCACGAAACTTGAAATTTCGACGACAAAAACAGCTCAAATAATCAAACGTGGAGTCCATGCATGATAGGCTCCCCGATTGAAAACTCGGGGACTGTGCATGGTGGGCTCCCGAATCTAAAACTCACGGACCATGCATGGTGTCGTTACGACATGGGAAGAGACTTTCAAAAAATTTAACATTTTAATATCATTCATATCATTTATGATTTGTTTTGGGATGTGATTTATTATTACATCAAGAGTCATCATCTAATATTAAAAGAATTAAGAATTTAAAATAATACTACTGAAATTTTTTTTAAAATAATGAGTTTATTACATTTAAAAAATATATCTATCATCAAAAAACGTAATTTTCTAAAAAATGTATCACGTCTAGTTTAATCTTAAATTCATCTTCTAAAATATTTTACTTATTCTCAAATTATTTTTAATTGAAACTATAATTTTTCTAATCAAATTAAGTTTTCTATTTTTGAGTATAGCATCGTATTGAAACATTATCGAATCCCATTATTAAGAGACACATCAGTTCAAATATTTGATTCATTTTAAGCTTCAATATAATTAATATGGCAGAGAACATTTTGATTATTAAATGATGATATTTTTTTTTACCGACAACAATTTCTATCAAATAGAAGACTTCATTAGGAATTTTAATTAATTTTTTTATTAATAGAGAACAGTTATCGATCCTAAAGAATTAGAAGATTCGACAATTTGCCCACCTATTAACCACTAATCTAATTATTGAAACAAAATTCTAAAATTAAAATTAACTAATACGCCTTCCCTTTTTTTATCATTTTATTTTTTTATTTGTTTTTTTATTGATCATGAATTATCATTGGTCCCTAAAAATTAGAAAATCGACGATTCATCAATTTATTAATTATCTAATTAAACTAATAGCCATTTAAGCAATACTCAACATGAAAGTGAATCTAAAATTAAAATTACAAAGGTGTAAAATATTTAAAACTCAAAGAATTCATATGAGCCTAAAATTATCCGTCACAATTCCAAACGTAATTAAAATTAAATGATAAACTAAACCAAATTTAAATACGAACAAAATTAGTAACTATGCATGAAATTAAGTAAATTAACTAAAAAAATAAGCGAAGGGACTTCGATAATTCTAAATAAATAAACCTGAGCTGACGCATGAAGCAACATAAAATTTTAGATTTAATTGAACAAGGGAGATTAGTTAAAATTTAAAATAAATTCTGATAGTTTGAAAACCCACCTGGGTAAACCCTTTTACCCAAACTGGATCTGGCCCTAAACCCATTAGGTCCATTGACTTGAATTCCCAAAATTTGGGCCCTCGTGATTTTATTTCAGCTCATTAGTTTCGGTTGTGACTTCGGCCACCCACACCCAAAACGAAACTTTTCCTGCCTTACCTCTCGACTGGAAGAGGTGGCTGCTGTGATTTCTGGTTGGTCGATGGATGAGGGCAATGCGGGCTGTGTAGGTAGGATATGGCAAGGGTTGGTGGTAGCGTGGGAACCAGGACGGTTTGTTACAGTTACAAACCTCCAGGTATGCTACTGTTCCTACTTCTTTCAAAAGAAAGAAGAGGAACAACAGATTATACCAATAAATTCATGCAACAGACGACAGGTAGTCGGAGGCCACCTTGCCTAGTTCGTCCTGTCGTCCGCTTACTCCTTTCAATCCAGTCTCTGTTCGTTTCAAGTTTTCTTCAATTAAGTTCTTTGGGTTAATTGTTCTGGTCACTCTAGCTTCAATTGTTTCTAATTGCCCTTAATTTTTCTCAATGGTTTCCCCTATGTTTGATATTTATAAATTAGCCTATAATACTTTAAAATAAATTATAATCGAATCCTTAAAAGTAAAATAAATTAACTTTTCTTTTTGTTTGTCCTTTTTTTTTTTTTGACTTTCCTCTTTTTTTTTAATTTTTTTTGAAACTAAATTTTAATAACAATATTATTATGATAAACACTAAAATAATGTAAACAAAAAGTAAAGTAAAAATAACTAAAAAATGAAATGAAATGAAATGAAATAACTAACAAAATTGATTAAATTAAATAACTAACTAAACTAAAAATAACCCAAAAATTTTAGGTTATGACACATGGTAGGTTTTTCAAATTGAAAATTTTGGCCAATATAAATGTGTGAAAGCATTAAATATATATATATAGGTTACAACTATTTCGGAATCTTTTTAATAGCTTTAGAGTTTCTTTAATTTTATTTATATTCTGACAAAGTTCTTGGATTTTATGTCCTTTAACCACATTCTTCAGTAAAAAAACGCAAATATTCTTCGGGAAAGAATATTACATTACAAAAACTCTAAAACACAAAGCACAATTACTGTTGAGTCTACTGTAGCTTCAGACTCAACTCTACTGTTCCTTCTACCGTTCATGTTACAGTACTTATCGTTTTTTCAGTATTTCGGCATGCTCCTATTCACACGATGTGGCAGCCACTTGGAGAATTAACAAAAAGAATAAGATAGACTCAGATTTAGTGTGGATGTACTGTGCGCGTTCACTCCTTCTGTCTCTCTCTTTTTTCCCTTCTTCTTCTCCCTCCTCATCTCCCGAATCTCTCTCTCACGATGGACGAACCATTGTTGAATCCTCCTCCTCATCGAACCAGCAATGTTTCGTCCTTCTCTCTCTTCCTCTCCCCTTCTCTTTCTTTTTTCTTCCTTTCTTCTTCTTCCTCTTTGCCAAATCCTCTCTCTCTCTTCCCTTTTTTTCCTTCTTCTTGCTTTCTCACTTCTCCCGAACCTGCCATGGACGAACCCCTTCTTTCCTTCTTTTTCCTTACTTCCTTCTCTTCCTTCCCCAATCGAAAACCCCCAAATCAATTTTTCAAAATTCTTCCCCAATTTTGGTCGAACCCTAACTTTTCGATTCTTCAAAATTTTCTGTCAATTGGCTGATTGACAGCAGAGAGAGAGATTTTGTCATTCTGTGTGCGCTGTGCGCGTAGTTTCTGTGTTGTTCTAAGCAACGCTAATAAATTTGTTCTTTATTTACTTTGCAAGAGAGAAGGCAAAGAGAATCTCCGTTTAAAAAGACAAATGGAGGAAGAGAAGGCAAAGAAGAGCTCGAGGCCAGTAGAGTTAGCAAAGGAGGAGGAGATAGACAGGCCGGTTCAAGTATATGCAGACGGCGTCTATGATCTCTTCCACTTTGGCCATGCCCGTTCTCTCGAGCAAGCCAAAAAGCTGTACCTAAATGATTATCACTCTCAAAATCTCACTTTTTTAATTCAATTATTTGTTGCATCAATCTAAAGATAATCTCTTTTATTGTTATTATTATTTGTTTTCAAATTTCGTTACAAATTATAGTATTAATTTATTTGATAGGTTTCCAAATACGCATTTGCTGTTGGATGCTGCAATGATGAAGTCACTCCCAAATATAAAGGTAAAACTGTGATGACTGATGAAGAACGCTATGAGTCTCTTAGCCATTGCAGGTTAGCTTTTTATTCATGTTTTCAATTTTCCATCTCCGTTTCTATGGGGTATCCAAAACTCATGATAAGTAATATTAATACTTGATTATTTTTTCTATTGAATGAGGATTTGGTAATTTCGTTTCATTAGTCGTGTTCAATTTATAGATTTTTTTTTCCCAAGTATTTTACTTGCTTTTGGAATTAAATTATGCATCCATTGTAGATCTTGCAAGAAATGTAGAATTAGGTCAATGATATTTGGCCAATTTAGCTTCATTTTAAGCCTTTTTTGAGAACTTAAATTCTTGCACACGTACAAATGGAAGATGAGGAGAATATTTTCTGGGGAATTAGTGAAGGCCACATTTAGTTTGCATTTAGGAGTGGAATGAGAATCCTTTTTTGATTCTCAGTGAAATGTTGTTTGCTTTGTCATTAATAAGTAGAAATTAGAATTGTGCAAGACAAAAACAGAATAATGTATTTGGAACGGAATCAGAATCTTATGTTCAGTTACCTAAGAATTAGAATTTCTGGTGAAATGAGATACTATGCTTTGAGTTAGACAAATTACTCCTCCGTCTTGGTGAAAAATGAAATAGTGTGACAAGCAGAGAAATAGAATAATATAGTTGGAATGGAATTAGACTCTCATTCGCATTCCATTCCCAATTCCCAAGTCCCAAGGAAATCAAATGAGGCTAAACGGAAAATAGTCTGGAAGAAAGATTTTCGTTCTTGAAAGTTCTGTAACAGGTCATTAGAGGCTGCATAGTAGTTGGAGCAATTTAAATAGTATTTTACCTGTCCAAATTTGTTGTTCTAAACCAAACTTAACAAGTGGATGTTTAACATTTCAGGTTTTACACTACTTTGTGCCATTGTGTTATTATTTATGGCTGTCAGGTGCCTCATGAAAGTAGTTCTGAATCTAATTTCTGGGATTGTAGGATTGCAGAGAAGTGGTTTATGAATGGACTGGAAAGTGTCGAAGTTGCCAAGGCTCAGGACATGTCAGCTATTATAATAAAAGGGGGAAAGAAGTTACCTGCAAATGTGTACCTTGCCTTGGAATTGGTAATTTTGATGACTCATGGTTTGTGTTCTTTCTTTTCTTTTCCTCCCTTTTCTACAAACTCTCTCTCTCTCTCTCTCTCTCTCTCTCACACACACACACACACACACACACACACACATGGTGTTCTGGCTGGATTATTGTATGAATTGACCCTGTGGGTGCTATCCTATAAGTGGAATCTCGCCTACCAGATTAATTGAAATGTCTGGTGAAATGAGATACTATGCTTTGAGTTAGCCAAATTACTCCTCGGTCTTGGTGAAAAATGAAATAGTGTGACAAGCAGAGAAATAGAATAATATAGTTGGAATGGAATTAGACTCATTCGCATTCCATTCCCAATTCCCAAGTCCCAAGGAAATCAGATGAGGCTAAACGGAAAATAGTCTGGAAGAAAGATTTTCGTTCTTGAAAGTTCTGTAACAGGTCATTAGAGGCTGCATAGTAGTTGGAGCAATTTAAATAGTATTTTACCTGTCCACATTTGTTGTTCTAAGCCAAACTTAACAAGTGGTTGTTTAACATTTCAGGTTTTACACTACTTTGTGCCATTGTGTTATTATTTATGGCTGTCAGGTGCCTCATGAAAGTAGTTCTGAATCTAATTTCTGGGATTGTAGGATTGCAGAGAAGTGGTTTATGAAGGGACTGGAAAGTATCGAAGTTGCCAAGGTTCAGGACATGTCAGCTATTATAATAAAAGGGGGAAAGAAGTTACCTGCAAATGTGTACCTTGCCTTGGAATTGGTAATTTTGATGACTCATGGTTTGTGTTCTTAAATAGGTGATAAAGAAGCCTTATTTTTTGGGTTTTGAATAAGAACCATCAAGGATCACTTTGCTTGGTTGTTGTAGACATACTTGCAATGTACCTGAAGCAGTGCCAAGAGAACTTATTCATGCCATAGTAATTGGAAAGGTAAAAAGCAGCCTTATTTTTTTAGTTCCTGGACAAATTAATTCTTTACTGAGCAAAATATAGAAAAGAAATTTGCTTCACAAAGTCTTGCAGCTAAATGCAGTGAGAAAAAGTGTCCCGGCATTTCTCTACTATTAAATGCATAACACATACCCATGCTTTGGTAAGACCTTATGCTGTGTTTGCACCTCCAATATATTGTCATGTAATTCTTATATATAACTATATATAAAAGTATGAACTCTGTATTGAAACATTTGATTTGACTATACATTTGAATTTTTATAACTTTATGACTAAAATAGGATTTGTAATACCTATTTTTACTCCCTTTTATATAAAGCCAATTATTAGGGAGTTGTATTAATTTTTCCTTTTGGTAAAAAAGCTAATTATTAGCAGTCTATTAAGAAATAGACTAAAACATTAATATAATTTTTTAAAAAATAGGTCAATCCCATTTTTCAATTAATGCATCATATAAAACCTTAAATAATATAAAATAAGCTTTTTAAATCACCTCTAACCTATATAGTGTCTTATTAGAACTTCATTTTGACTATAATACTATAAAAGTGATTAAAAACAAGTCAATTAAGGTCAATAATTAAAATCTAAAAAATAATAAAATTGCATAAAAAAATTTATCAAATTATTATTTTCTTTTATATGAAATCCTTAATTATTGTCTTATATGATCTTTGACTCTTTTACACACCAGTATTCATAAGTTTTTTTTTTTTTTTTTTTTTTGTGTACAATTCCTACTGATATTGAAAAAAAGACTACAATTTATTTATGTCAATTCCTTGGAGTTTTTTCAAGAGCTTTCAACTATATTACTAAATATAAGAAAAGAACAATTGAGGCCTTGACAAACCCCCAGGTGAAGTCATGTAAAGATTAGTTGGTCTTCTCATGGTTTGTTTTCTGTACATAGTAATTCTTGGAATAGTTAGGGTTCATACTGCATATTTTAACTATACAGTTGAATTATCAAATTTTAGATCCTTTCATTCATGAATATGGTCACATATATGTTGCAGCCCTTGGAATAGTAAATAAAGCTCATACTACATGAACTGTTTTTTCTTTATTACCAAACAGATGAATGCTTTGAAATCATTTTTCCTGCTTGATTTATTCTTTATTTCTCATAGAGTCAGAGACAATAACAATTGTCCTACTTTGTATATTACTTTTCTTTTCCTCCAAAACTTGATTTCCTTTCCCCTTAACTCTCAGGTTAGGAAGAACATGTCAGGACATCCCTGTGCTCATAGGTAAAATTTGTGCCCTCCAATCACAATCTTTATAAATATACTCAATTAATGTTGTGAAAGTTATGTGTGGAAAAATGTGACTGCCAAATACATGATGTTCTACTTAAGCCATACAAGTTTATAATAAACTGCATGGATAATGACCTCAGGTTGAAGCATATAATAATGACTTTGGATATTTGGATATGGTTTATGCTAAATGAACTCTGTAGATGATTTTATGATTGAGGAACCTTGACTATTGTGTTTGAATGAAATTTTAAGGATTAGTGGTTTATAATATTTGCTGACAGTTCTCTATAACCATTATAGGCTCTGCAGCCACACAACTTTGGGCTAAACATTTGAAATGGGAAAGACTGAGGGAGAGATTCTTTCTATCATGGTCCAAAAGCATAGCAAGAGCAGCTATGGAAGGAGCCATTGACCAACTAGAGCTACACTGGGATGGCTATGACAAAATAAAAGAAATAACTCTCAAGCAGCTTTAGGGTACCATAGAAAAGACAAAGGCAGAAAGAAATATTTGGTTCTTACAGAAATGTAATTACCTTTTTCTTCACCACCTCTATTTCGTGGTTGCATTATGCCATCACATTTTGATTGTGCTGTACTTTCATGGTAAAATTATGGGCAATCTAGTGCCATTACTCTTTCTATTGTCTTTGATGCTTGATCTTAATTCCAAGTTAAATTACACTGTTGCTTTATCTCTGATTGCTTGATCTTAAATCTAACATGCTGAAACCAATTATGATGAGTAAAATTCACTTGACAGTGTTCTTTTCTATCTGTTGGATGATTAAGACTTCTTCTAGCCTCTTCATGGTGTACTGCTAGAAGGGCAATTGGGTGTATCAATACAAGATATTCAACTAAATTGGAAAGCCATTGATATGACTTTCCTAAATTTTATGCCTTCTCTTAGCATTGTACAATGCATTATTTTCATTGTGGTAACTTCTATCTTCTAATCCTTTCTGATATTAAAAAGAGAAGAGGAAAAAGACTTGCCATATTGTTGCATGCGAGTTGTGACTATACCTGACAGTGGAAGTACATAAGGGGAAAAAAAAAATACAAATTTTGCACATGATATACAAGCTATAAACTTTTTTATTGTCTGAATTATGATAAACAATTGTACATGGTTTCCATGTTAGGCTGCTCATGGTGGAGGGACCATTATTTTCAAGGGTCTGTATTTTGGATTGGTTGGAAATCTCGCTGGTGTCTTACCGTAAATACTTAGTTTCTATATATATATATTCACTGATGCGTTACATAATTGAGCATGTAGGTAGACAATCATTTGGTGTATGGTTGGATAAGAGGGTCCTCATGTTTGCCACATGAAGATCCAAAACAGGTGAAATACGGTGTGCTTTTGTATCTATGTTCTGTATTGCTGCTCTTATTTTGTTCATTTTTTGTGTGTTTTTTTCTATAATTCGAATTTAATTAGCACTTAGTGTCATGTAGATTATTAAATATTTTTGTGTTTGGTGGCATGGAGTTTATGAATCTATCTCTTGTTTTTTTTTTTTTTTTTTTTTTTTTTTTTTTTCCAGTGCTTTTGCTATATTTGTTGGCATATATGAACCTACAAAGCAAAAATTGCTAAAATCTTTATCGGAAAACCTTAGTGCTTTAGCTCAGTTGGTAGATAGATACCTGACTAACGCATTTCGAGTTGCTAAACTAATTATTATGAAAAATGTTGTTTAATCCAGCACACTTCAACTACCACTATAAATATATTTCCCTTAAAAGTCCTTTCTATCACTTTGGCATGTTTAAATTTACTTGATACACACCTAAGAATGGTCCAAATGCAGCTGTTTGCATCCTTAGCTAAAGTATGTTGATATTTGTTCAAAAAATAACCTATTGAAAAGTCACTTCCTTCACTTTCATGTTCCAAGTTTGCATATTGTGCAGGTTCTTTTTTCTTGCTTTCTTTTTCTGTGATGGAGAGAATCTTACATTCAATCTACTGTATAGAACCTATCTTTGTTATTTTAATAGGTTACGAGACTTCATTCAGACTGTAGGTGCCGTTGGGGGTGCTGCTTCATCTCTTATTCGTGTACCAATGGAGGTAATTAATTCTGCTTCTTTGTTCTCAATCCTTTCTTGCTTCTTATCAGGTCTATTCTCCCTGAACATTTTTCAGGTTTTTAAGCAAAAGATGCAAACTGGGCAATTTGCTTCAGCCCTGATGCTGTCTTATTGTCTCTAAGGAGGGTTTTAAAGGTCTCTTTACGGTATGCAACACTTCAGATCCTAAAATTTGGTTTAGTATTGCAAGATTCAATTCTGGAGAATATTATGGTCTACGTACATTAGACGAAGTTCTGATGGTGTAAAGTTAATTATGACAAGCATCATTTTTTCTGAAGCTACCTACATGTTATTTTGCGCATAATTGCTATGTAATGCTGCTTGATAGTCATTATGCATGTGATTGTATGTCTCATGAACTTAGTTGTTTATTTTAAACGTTCAGGGGTATGGATCCTTTTTATTACGAGACTTGCCATTTGATGCAATTCAGTTTTGTATCTATGAGAAAATGCTAATGGGATATAAGTTAGCGGTAAGCTTTCTTTTACTTCCTAGAGCTAGAGGCCTATAAAATTCCATAGCTTAGTTTTATTTGCATGTGTTTTTGATAATTCTGTTACATGGCTTCTTGGATTTTATTATTTTCTTTACATCATGTTAAGAGGAAACTAATGAACCTTATTTGTCTATTCTACATGTGGTGGGTGATTTAATGACAAAATTATGCAAATATGACCACTTTATTCTCTTTTTCTCTAGGCAAAGAGAGATCTGAAGGATCCTGAGATTGCTATAGTTGGTGCTTTTGCTGGTAATGAAGCATTCTCCTTAGGTTCACCAAACTCTGTTGATTTTTCTTACTTGCACTCTTGCTGTTTTTCTTAAGTAAATTATTTTAGCTCGGAAAGGAAAGGAAAAGGAAGAAAAGATGGCAGGGATTCCTCAAAAGAGAAAAGGGCAGGAAGAGAAAGCAAAGGCATACAGAAAATCAAAGAAAAAAATAGGAGTCATCTGTAGTCGGAAAGTGACACTTAAGAAGAGATTAACAAAGGTAACTTACAAGCCACAATGCAACATGAAAAATCACTCTCAATTTGAGGAATAGTGTATGTCATTGGATTTTTGGAGTGCATATTAATGCAATGTTTCAAATTAGGAATATTACTGACTTAGTAGATTAGGAAACACATATTTAGAAGTTAGCTTAGAATTGGTTTTTATAATTTTATAAAGTTAATTGGTAATTCCATAGTTGTTAGATTGAAAACAAGATTAACTAGTAGAAGACACACAAAACACAGACAAATATAAGGAAGATGAGAATCTTATGATTTTTTTTAATTTATTTTTTTCTTGTGTTCGAGCCACACCATGGCAAACATATCATGTATGTTGTTTAGTTATTCATATACTTCAACCTTTTTTTGTTAAAACCAAATATGTAGAGGTTGGACATACTCTTATGATCCAATTGCCATCGTTGTTCTTGCTATCTTTTGCATGAAACGAGCAATTTCATGATGAGGCCATGCTTGGTGGGTGATATACATCAAATGTTCAAGGGCTATATGTTGTCTTCTCTATTAGATTCGAAAAAAGAAGTCTGTTAGTGATTAGATGATTAGTCAAGGGGCACCATTGACTTCCCATAGCCGAGCTTGGGAGGAACTGGATGTAAAGATTATGAACAGAGGAAAAGTTCAAAGAGAAGCTTCACTTGCAGATCAGATCCGAGCTGCCATAACTGAAAGAACTGAATCCAATACTAAGGATGCTTTGGCAGCACCATCTACTCTGAACTTATTTGCTGGGAGTTGAGTACAGTGAGCTAAAAGTTACGTTGTGTGTAGCAACAGAAACTAAAGTTGCATTTTTTTGTAATTATAACTTCCAATTCACTCGTTGTTATTGCTTAAGCTTGAGTAATTGTTAGATGTTCGGGAAAGGATGGAATCTGAACCTTTAAAGGGTATCAACTACAATTGACACTAGAACTCAAATTATATATAACTAAGAGTTATTTCTCTTCCATGCCGCTTGGCAATAATTTGTGCTATATTATTATTATTATTATTTGTCTGAATTTACTTCTTTCCCAATTTTGGCATACAATAAGTTAGTGAAATTCCAAATCATCCTTTAAGCAAGAGCTTAGCGGGGCAACTTCTGCTGTTATGCGTTCAAATTTTGGTAGGAACTAATCTATAATAAAAGGAAAATATTTTGAGAAAACTTTGGCGTCGTGGCAGGAGATGTAAATGGTTAAATGTATAAGATTAACTCAAACCCTAAAAGAAATGGAGTTTTTACACTGTTAAATTTCTAGGATTAACTAAAACTCTAAAAGAAATGGAGTTTTCACTGTGCATACTGTGTTTCACTATACCTTCCTACGCATTTGTATTATTTATATGTACAAGTTTACAGTGTATTTTCACCATTTGGTCAAACAATTTCATTTTGGTCTCTAGTGTTTCAGAAAAATCTTTCTTTTTTTTTTCTTGATTCTGGGCGGGGGTTGGTCCTCCTAACCGGCTTCTAATTTTGTTTAGATTTCATTTAATTTATTTATATTAAAGATTTTTTTGAAAATTTTGAAAATATTTATCTAGCTTTATTTTTATTTTTTTTAAAATAGTTAATGTGATTATTTTTAAAAAAAATTATATAATTTATACAATGGATTCAGAGAATTTTGAAATGATGGTACATATATATATATATTAAAAAATAATTTTTAGTTAAAAATTTATAATTTTTATTTAAGAATCAATGCATAAAGAATAACAAATAATGTCTTTTTAAGTATAAAATTTATATTAAACATAAGAAAGAATTATTTAAATACAAAATTTTGTTTGTAAAACATAAAATTTAGATTATTATATATTTTAATAGACCCGTAACATATTATGAATTATCAAATTAAAATAATTTTATTCTATTCTATCGGTAGGATTACGTAAGTAACCAACTAGAAAACCAACATTCTTCATAAATATATTTTAGATCATATTATTTTTATTATTTAAAATTTATTTCTTAGATTTATCATTTCTTATAGAGAATGTCATCTAATTAATTGTAACTTTAAATTTAAATTTTATTTATTCATAAATATGATTTATTATTTTCTATGTATGAATTTTTAAATAAAATTTTAGAATGTGATTAGTAAAAAAAAATGTATAATTTATATAATGGATTCATAGAATTTTTAAATGATAGTAGCATATATATATATATATATATTTCAAAAGATTTCTATCGATTTAAAAAAATTAGTTAAAAATCAATGATTTTTTTAATAAGTTTTTAGTTAAGAATCAAATAAATAAGAATTAATCATGTTCTTTTTAGTAGAAAATTTATGAAAAATATAATGAATAATGAGTCAAATATAAAATTTTGATTAAAAAAAAAAAAGAAAACTCGAATAGATTTTTATTTAACTTTGGTTCATTATATTTTGATGAATTCACGGTGTTGCATAGACCTTCAAATTAAAATGATTTTAAATATTTTATCCGATCTACAACGAAGGTTAAAAATAAAGTTCTAGCTTCAGAGAGTGACAAAAATAGAGTTCTAGGTACAAAGAGTAATATAGATAAAGTTCTAACTAGAGAGAATGACAGAGATAGAACTCTATCTCTACCACTCTCTGCAATTATAACTCTATCGCTATTGCTCTCTTTTAGTCTCTCTGTCACTCTCTATAGCTAGAACCATGTCTCTCCACTCTATGTAACTAGAGCTCTATCTCTTTTGTGAGACACTCTGTACCTAGAATTTTATCTTACTTTCTCTCTATAACTAGAGCTGGATCTCTTTTGCTCTTTGTAATTAAGACCATCTTTTTACTTTTTGAAACTAGAACTTTACTTCTACTATTATTTGTAACTAAAACTCTATTACTTAAACTCTCTATAGCTAGCATTATTAAAACTAAAACTCTATCTCTATCTTTTATTCTTTATAATTAGAACTCTATTTCTATTACTTTACTACTTTTTTATAACTAGCACTTTATCTACATCTAATTTTTTTTAAACTAAATTTATTTATAGCTAATAAATACTAAGTTAATATATAAAAAAACAATATTCACCCGCAGCGAAGCAAGGACCACATCCTAGTAGTGGCTAATTCATTAACCAAAAGTAATCTACGCAGATTTGATGGCTTTATAGCTCGGCTATGGTGCCATTTTTTTCTATCGTTTTATAGTTTTTGGTCGTTTCAGTTGATTGTAACGACTTTGTAATTTGTGATCGATTGACAGGCTGTTTTATTCTTTAATCTAATATCGATTTTCGTCTAAAAAAAATATGACAAAATATCTAAAATATCCTTAAGATTTATATTCAAAAAGTGAAAGCATTGAATATTTGATTTGACATTGTTTTTCTTCTCGCGTCACGTTGCCTTCGGTGCTACCTTCAAAACCCACAACCTAGAGTCCAGCCCAAACATTGGTCCAATATCAAAAAGCATCACCACCTGATATATCATGAAATAACGGACAACTCACACATTTGTCCAATATAAAGCCCAATTCCCTCTAGAGGCCAGCCCGACAGGTTCTCCGTGAAGAAACCCCTTACACCCAAACGACTGCACCCGAATGAATTTCTCTTTACTGGGTTGTGTTTTGTGTTTGTTTAGGAGAAAATAAGTTTTAAAAATTTATTATTTTTATTTTTTGATATTTGTTTCGCACTTAAAAAAATCAGCATAATTTGATTTTCAATTTACAAGTATTTCTGAAAAAAAATGACTTCTCACTTGAAAAGAAAAAAAACAGTTTCTCTCTCTCACGAAACTGTCTCAAACAAATGTCATACTTTTGGTGCGAACTATAAAATTTTTGAATGGGGTAAATTTCAATAAAATTAATGCTCTTTTTTTTTTTTGTCCTTTTTTCTTCTCGTTTGTTATTTTATTTGAAGTTCCTTCCTATGTTTTCCCTTTTGAAACACATTGAGAGTCATAATTATGATTCCTTTTCCATCTTTTTCTTTCAATTAAAAAACGAGCTCACCATGCATGAAATCTTATTAAAATTTACAAGAAATTTCAACCAAAATATTGAACATGTAAATCAAAGATCCAAAAAAACATGTAATCAAACTGAAAAATTGAAGTTATTTTTTTTGCAGCTTCTCTACTTTATGGCTGTGGTTGAGTTGGTGTCCTTGTGATGAAGAAAGACATGGTGTTTAGGGATTGCTAGTGGAAGGACTGCTATTCTGGTTATTATCGAAATCTCTTCCCCCCCATATTTTAACTAAGATTTTTAGATGAATAAAGGTGGAATTTTGGAAGAAGGTGGCTGCAACAAGAAAAAGTTGAAAAAGGAAAGAATGCGAGACCGCGCTAGCAAAGGAATTGGGTTTTTTGAACTTCAAAACGAAGTAGTTTAGCATACATAGGTTCCACCCTTCCCCACCTTTTTTTTCGAGTAGCACCAAAACTGTTCAGTTCGGATCATATGAGTTTAACAGATACTCAAATGATATTTTGTCATAATTGAACTGGTTAAATATTTAGTTCATCGATCAAACCAATCAATCTGGTTGATTGTGATAACACTAAATAGATATTTTTGGTCCACTTAAATTCATTCATGATAATTTTTTGAAAAACATATTCCTTGTAAGTTTTATAAGTACATGAAGAAATGTTTCATAAATCAGTTCCCCCATCATTTGATTTTGTTAAATTCAATTTAAAATTGCGTGGGAGAAGCTCCTAAATTAATCCAATAAACCCAATAGAAAATCAAAATCATTTCTGATGAAATGGTTTTGGAATGCGAGAGACAGTGAACTAAATTTGATTTTTTTGACAATTTGCCAAGTGAGTCTCAATTTTCAATTTGTTTTTCAATTGCACCATCTGATTTCTTTCAATGATGTCCTTAATTTGTCCTGGTTTTTGTTTAATTTTGTCTCTATTAGCTTTGAATTTAGAATTAATTTAATGCAATTATACCCCCTGATAAAACCTATCCTTTAATTTTATATATATATATATATATATATATATATATTTGCATTTTTAATTTTTCTTTCTTTTTGTATAGTAATAGACAATAAAAATAAAAGTAAAATAGGAATGCATAAAAATAAGAATGAAATGAAAAATAAAATGAAACAAAAAAACTAATAATTAAATTAATAAAGGGAGATAAAATAAATGACAATAAAAAAATAAAAATGGATAAAATTTGGAGAAAAAATATAACCCAAAATTTGGGTTATGTTATTTTTTACATAATAAAAATTTTTTGAAATCAATTTTGTAAATTTTTTTAATACACTCTATTAGTTTTAATATATTTTTTACAATATATATTTTTTTAATTTATTCTACAAACTCTGATCCACTAATTATAATCATGATGTTTAATAAATTGTAATCGATTGATTATTTACTTAAGATTTTTATTAAAAAAGTACTTAATCTCAAGACATGAAAATTATCAAAAAAATAAAAAATATCATCGCTATTAAATAATAAAAGAAAAGAAAAGAGTACTTGTAAACTAACCTTTTAAAAATACTAGTTCGCTTTCTTCTAGATGCATGTGAATGTGGACCCCAGCCATCAGGAACCGTGTGGAAAACACATAGTAGTGAAGGAGGCTCACGCAGCTGCACGTGAAGGAATTAATTAGCGTGCGCACTAGCGGTTGCGGAAGCGTTGAGAACGTTGTTGTGCGAGAAACGTGAAAATGATTTGTTTTTATGCAATTATATAGTACTGAACGATTCTAAATTATGTAAGCAAGACATGGAGAATTAATATTCTTTTCCAAACAATCAGTTTCCACAAAAAAAAGTTCTCTTTCACGGTATCTCCATTTCCATCTTTGTTATATCACACTATTAGTGAAATCATTGTTACGATTTGATCCTAAATTCAACTGGTGATGTTTGGGACAACTAATTAAGGTGGAAACTCCACCAACAAAACTTGAAATTTCTAAGACAAAAACAGCACCACTTAATCAAACACCATGCATGATATATAGGTTCTCAAAATGTAAATTATTGTTATGTCAAATAAACATTTCAGTCTAAAAAATTAAATTATTGTAAAATCGTGTATGCGTGTGTATATATATATATATTAAAAAAAACTAAAGTAAAACTATTGTTTATTATTAATTGCATTATTTAAAACATTCTTCAACTAGACTCATGCATTATTCATTTCACCATGCAAGTAGTATTTTTGTAGTTTTTAAATATCTTTAAAACATACATTATGAAAGTTTTTATAACATTATACTTTGATCATTTTTTAAAAATTATATATTTTTACTCTGCAAATATTTTTTTTAAATAAATATAGATAGAGATAAATAAATAATATTTTTGATAAAAAAATTATAAAAATATAAAGAATAATTAATCAAATACAAAATTTTAATTAAAAAATTATAAAATTGAATGAATTTTTATTCAGTTTTGATTAGATGTATTTTTAATAAACACACAATATAACATGAGATATCAAATTGAAATAATTTTTTAAAAATTATTTTATGTGTTATGTCCAATCCGTAGCACAACGTGAGTAATAAACTAGTATACATATTGTCGCTATCCGATGTCGGACGGGACTCTAAAAAAAAAATGCATTTCTAAATCTACATGGTTAGATGTTATTTATAAATTTATTTACAAGTTTGAAGTCGCCCCCTAGTATTAAGAACTAGGAACCTAAAAGTAGTACTTGGTTCGGAGACTCTATGGTAAGGAGTTGGTTACGCTATTTGAAAGATATTTAATCACTCAAAAGTGCGTTTTCCGAAGAAATGTATCATATCTAGTTTAGTTTTAAATTCATCTCCTAAAAGGCTTTATTCATGCCGGATTATTTTTCAATTTTAAACTACGAGCTTTTAAAGCCAAATTAATTTTTTTTGTTTTATGCGTGGCATTGTATTGAAAATATCGTCGGTCCTATTCTTCGGATGACACGTCATTTCAAATATCTAATCCACTTTGAACCTCAACACAATCGGAGTGTCGGAGATTATTTAAATGATGATTTTTGGTAACAATAATCTCTATTAGATAGGAAACTTCATTAAGAATTTTTATTTTTTTCTTTATTTGTTGTCAAATGACAGTTCCTATTATATAGGAGACTTCATTGATAATTTTTATTATTTTTATTTTTTTGGTGAAACGACGAGTCTCTATCGGATAAGAGACTTTGTTGAGAATTTTTTGATGATTTTTTTATCAAACGACAATCCTTATCAAATAGGAGGTCTCGTTGAGAATTTTTATTTTTTTCGTCAAATGACGAGTCTTTATCAAATAGGAGACTTCGTTGAGAATTTTTATTATTTTTATATTTTTTTTGTCACACGACAATCCCTGTCAAATAGGAGACTTCATTGATGATTTTTATTATTTATTTATTTTTATGAGTTCTTTATCGATGGAAAATCAGCATCAATCCCTAAGAAATATGAGATTCAACCAATCACCTATTTATTATTTACTAAGTCTAAATACTAAACAAATGAACTAAGGTTACATATTAAGTAAAAATTAAAGAAAATAAAAAGAAACAAAATAAAATTCAATTACTGAAATTTAAATTAATAGCAAAACATTTATAAAATAAATAAAGGTTAAAATTAAAAGAAAAATTACAGAAAAATTAAATATCAAATTATAAATTAAATATAAACTGACAAAACATGCAATAAATTTAAGATTAAAAAAATACTAATTAAAATGATTAAGAGGATAAAAATCTAAATTAAACATGGAATGCATAAAATTTAAGTTCTAGCCGAATATTTAATTTTTTATTTCAAATTTTCCTTTCTTTCCTTTTTTGTTACTTTTTTATTCCCCATTTTCCGTCGCTTTCTAACCTTTTTACTTTTTTTTTTTTTTATACATTCTTTTTGAAGATGTATCAGTTCCAGCTACTAAACCATTCCCTTTTCTTTATTATTATTATTTTTTTATTTTTTTCCGGAGTAAAACGTGAAGAGGGGGAGGGAGAGGCAGGAGCTGGACTGGAAGCAGCTTCTGCTCACCTCTTTTATTAAGGGCCTAGGCAAAGGCTGGGCTGAAACTAGCCCATTCTTTCAATCCGTGTGATTTGGGCTAAACCCAACCACGTCCCAATCTTTTTTCTTAAAAAATCAAACCCATAACAAAACCCGACCTCCTCCTATTTTATTTTTGGATCAAACGAAAACTTATCAGATTTTAACTCTTTCTCACTCCTATTTCTCTGCTTCTGCTCTTCCTGGACGTCAAATCCAGCAACCTCCCAATTTTCTTAGCTTTTCGAACGAGATTTCTTCAGCAAGAACCAAACAGCTCTGGCCCAAACCTAAACCTGTCACTATCATCTTTCTCTTTTTCTAGATTAAAGCAAACATTTGGTAGAAATTGAAAACGAAAGAATCTGAGTGAGATGAAATACCTGAGTGGGGTTTTGACGAATTGAGTAGAACTAAAAAAAACTGGCGCTTTGATATTTGAATTTCACTGAGCAAGACCGAAGGTGTGAAGGATAATTTTTTGGGACTTCGTTGCTGTCGTTGCTGTTAATTTTGCAGGTTGGATTGATTTTGAATGAGGACGCTTCACCTGGAAACTTGTTGATGACTGGAAGTTAACCAAAAGTTAGACAAAAGAAAGGCAATGCCCTGAAAATTCCAAAGAAAAAAAAAAAAAAACAAAAAGAATGAAGCGGAACCCAGGAGCTTGAAGCGCAAAACCCAGGAAATGAAGAACACAATAACACTGCCCAGACAGATTTAAGTGAAAAACCCAGAAACTTTGAATCAAGCCCAGGCAATAATTAAAAAAAAAAAATCGAATGGAAGAACCTCCAAGAATCGAAACGAAACCCAGAAAAAACAAAAAAAAAAAAATCCAAAATTATAAGCCTAGTGATGAAGAACACAATCCGAGGAACGAAGAACACTAAGACCTGCCCAGAAAAATAAAAAATCTAACTTTTCACTCTTGATAATCACTCTCTCTTAACCCAGAATCTTCTGTTACTTCTCCTTCCATTTGTCTATGGATTCAGACCCTTTTTATAGTAAAAAATTTCCTTGAATTTCTCCTCGAATCAACCATCAATCCCGAATTTTTCTGCTAACTCTCAAATTTGAGATTCGATTACCTAATCAACAAGGATCAGTGATTGCATGATTCTCTGTTATTATTAATTCAGCTGTGAATCGTGCAAAATCAAAACAGGAAATTGGTGGAAGATTTAGACAGATTTTCCGAAAGATTTTCGGAGAGAAGGAAGATTGGAGGACGACAAGTCGGCTTCTCCATTTCACTCCTGTCGTCCTCTTCCAAAGTTTGATTTGGTCCCTGTGAATTTCCATTGTCCGCGATCATGCCCTCCTGTTGCATAATTTCAGTCTTTATAAAGTGCAATATTATCAATTGGATCCTTATAAACTGTAATTTAGGTTTTGAATTTCTCAATTTGTTCGATTATACCCCTAATTACCTCAATTACACCTTCCTTTAAATGCAATTATGCCCCTGGATGAATATTTTTGTATTTTCACCTATTTTTTTATTTTTTATTTTCTTTTTTATTTTATTTTTTTTGTAACAAACTCCAAAATAAAATAAATGACAAAATTTGGGGTTACGACACATATAAAGCAAAATAACATGCTGAACTATAAATTGTTCAAAAAGAAGGGAAGTTTTGAACTTCGAAAATAAGCGATAGCTTTTTTTCTTTCAAAAAAAAAAACCTCATTTAGATATATTAGGCCGATGTCGTGGGTATTTTTAGCTCCACCCTCAAGAATTAATGTAATTTACATGTGTATATAAAATACGTATCTAAACACAAATTTTTAAATTTCTCTATCTTTCGTTTGAGATTCATGGTGAGGCAAGCGTTTTGAGATGTTTTAAAGGATAATAACTCGAAGTATTTGATAATGTAAATTTAGATACGTGGTTCTGTTACCAATTAAATGTTTATTTTTTTGAGAGTGCATTCCCAAACTTGGGGAATTCTTTATTCATTAATTTATTTATTTGAAGCGTAATCAAATTACATTGTGTCCTTCAAGTCCATTGCCAAACGGCCTTTGATGGAAGCAGTCAAGGTTGTCGGCAAGGTCAATTCCATATAACCCACAGTATCTCTTGTAGAACCCAATACGATCGTTATTTGCATTGCCCACATCTCCTTCTGGTCCCTTCCCACATTCAATGCCACCGTTGATGATATTTGTTATCACCCCATAGCCTGGAGCCCGACCAGCTGCCACATCCTCATTAGTTGGTGTCCAATTATCAGTGACCACATCGTGGCGTGAGGGCTTTGGAGGTTGCCTGGTCATCCAAAACTAGATTGCTGCCTTAAAGGAAATTATTGGATCGTTTTCCACAAGTTCTGGTTCTTGTAGTAGGTTCAGGTTTAAAGCATCTCCACATTGCCCATAATTATAGTTCCTGTATAACATATAGCAGTTAAGAATTTTAACTAGATGAGAAATTAATTAATGACTTACTTAAAAGGATCGAAAACATAATCCTTGGACTTAATTAATTACCATGTGAGTTGGATAGGACCTCGGCCACAATATGACTTCCCGGGTGCACATGGATATATGGTAGATGGTTGACAGTAAGGTCCGCAATTTATTTCCCTCTTGTAGCAATATCCCCAAAAGAATGGTCCTTGGGGTGGATTCCATCCAGGCCCTCCTATATAACATGCAAATGCAATCACCAAGCAATTAGCCAATTTAAAATTTTAAACAAAAGAGGAAGTCAATATTTATCCATGATGGCCACATATTTTCAAACAGCAATTGTTATTTAATGAATTTGGATATATTCGTTATTTTTATAAAATGTTATAAAAAAATATAATGACATAAATGTATGTTATTATTATTACATCGTGTTGTTATTTATCATTATTTATCAAATAATAATCATTACATTAAAAAAATTAATTTTTTATATTTTATTATTATTTATGTGATATTAAATTATTCAAAACATTATTAACTTTTTTATAATAAATTCAATTATTATTGTGTGATAAATATTGTGATATTTAATTAATAAAATTATTAAAAATATATAAATTTATTAAAAATTATTTGTCTATTAATGCATTTAGACATGGACAGCTATTATTTTTCTATTACAACAAGTCACGATTCTTAATTGCAATCACTATTATTTTTACCTATGAATAATCAGACTTAATCTATTAATCATTAATTTATAGTTTTTTTTATATAAAAAATCATTAATGTTAGTAAATGATATACATATTGTATATATTAATTAATATGCTTTGGTTTTTTCGATGTTAATTAACAGTGTACGTACCAGTTGTTTCATGAGAGGTTTGGCCAAAGAAAGCAAGCAATTTCCCTTTTGCGCGTTTCATCACTGCCAGTGTTGCCAAACTCGGGGAATTCTTTGGCGGCTGAGATAAAAGCATCATAAGTGTAGAATCCGATGGCATGACAATTAGCAGCATTTCTATAAGGAAGCATCTCTTCAAACAGTGATTTTGGGATGATATCACTAAGGTATCCATCACCCCCACCCCCAACTCCACCTCCTCCGCCGCCGCCGCCACCACCCCCACCATCACACTAGCTTTGACAGCCTTCGCCACAATAAGCATTTGTGTCTCCACAGAAACCATATTCGCTACAACATAAGCCTCCCGGACACGGAGCACCCCCGACTTGCTTACCGCATTGCTCGGTCGAGCCTCATAGTGAAAGGGACAAGAAGAAAAAAATAATCGTATATGCCCAAACTCTCATTTTGAATTGTGTTTGAGCTCACTTGATGTTTGAGAAACCTAGAGCATGAGGGTATATATAGCCTCATACGATGCTTCCTTATTCTCAAATAATAATAATAAATAAATAAATAAATAACACGGATGCAATGTTTTCCATACAATTGCTGCACTTATTCCCATGATGACAGATTGTGTGGATATTGTTTTCTCCTATAAATTGTCGGTGGACATCTTTTTCATTAATTATTGAGGGGCACATTCAATAGCAATGGCTGATTTTGGCTTCTCATATATTTTGTATCTACTAGAAATTAAGATTGCCTTATGTCGAGAATAGATACATTTTCCTCGCATTTCACACAACGTCGTATGTAGTAGGCATTGCCATCCGTGTTAAACCTCACAATGAAAACCTTCCATGGACTAATCAAGAGAACCTCTCATTTAACTATGCTAAAAATAATATAAAATTATTCTTAAAATCTCACTTAATGTTTTAAATTTTTAAATTAAAAAAGTCATTTGTCATGTTATCATAAATCCGATGAACAAACGGTTACGAGTTCGAATCTAATTATAAGATAGTGATGGATTTGTTTAAATTTTAAATTCAAAGAACTTTCATTTACAAAGATGTCTAAAAAAATAATAAAAATATTTTTGATATCTCTCATAACAATTTAAATTTTTAAGTTAAGATGATATTTTTAGGAATTGCAATAAAATTTCTCTTACATTTAAAGACCACCATAAAATTTTATTTAACTTTTATATCTTTACGAAAGTCTTTTGTAGTCGACCTAAATTGGAACATCTCATATTTCTACCCTCTAAACAAAAATGAAACAAATAATTCCAATCATATAGTAAATTTGCTAAAAAGTAATATAAATTAGTTTAAGATTATAATTAATAGTTTAAATTTTTTGATTGAAATATTTCTTTGATAAAATCATACTTTAAATAACATAAAAATATAAAATATTCTTCTAAGTAATTAGAAATTTGATACAAATGCAGCGAACTCCAAAATCTTAGCCCCGTAACTTTTTTAGTAAATAAAATCTCTATATTGTCGGTATTTGTCGGACCGTGTCCGTTTTTTCTCTTTTTCTTATTCATAATTTTGGTCAATTACATGCGGTATATAGGTACAGAGAGAGAAAAGTCGGGAGCTATATCCGGCCTATGCGATGACTAAGGCTGAACTTATGGTTCACCCTTGAATTAAGAAATCTCTTTACAAATATAATTTTTATCTATAAACCGGGGATTCTATCGACTCACGCCAACACTCCCCTCGAGTTGGTGCGTAGATATCTCTAATGCCCAACTTGTCAAGTGAGTTATGGAAGTTTTTATTGAAAATTGTCTTCGTAAGTATATCCGCTCGTCGATCTTCCGATTTGACAAATGAAAATCGAATGATTTTATCCTCGAGGTTTTGCTTAATGAAATGTCTATCCACTTCCATGTGCTTTGTGCGATCATGTTAGACGAGATTGTGGGATATATCAACGGCAACCTTGTTATCACAAAACAGATTCATCTCTCGTGCTAGGACCAAATCCAATTTCGTTAGTAACCTTCTAAGCCAAAGAAGTTCACAAAGTCCTCGGCCATACCTTTGAATTGGCTTCAACACTCGGATAATACTACCACCTTTTGCTCCTTGCTTCTCCATGTAACTAAGTTTCCTCCCACATTGGTAAAGTAACCCGAAATGGATTTTACGTCCGAAATGTTCCCCGCCCAATTTGCATCGAGTATACCCTTCAATGTTCGGACGACCATTCTTAATGAACATTAGCCCTTTCCCCAGTGAGGATTTTAGGTAGCGAAGAATTCGAAGAAATGCACCCATATGCTCTTCACTAGGATAATGCATGAACCGGTTTACTATACTCACAATGTAGGCTATATCCGGACGAGTATGAGATAAGTAGATGAGCTTACCTACTAGTCTTTGGTACCTTCCTTTGTCGGTTGGTACTTGATCTCGATACATCCCCGACCCATGATTTTAAACTATTGGCGTGTCCGCTAGCTTGCACTCCGGAAATCCCACCTCGACCAATAGGTCCAACACATATTTTCTTTGAGAAAGGCATATGCCTCTTCATGATCTTGCCACCTCTATCCTTAAGAAATACTTAAGTCCACCTAGATTTTTCATTTCAAAATCCACGGACAATTGCTTTGTAGCCTTGAAATTTCCTCTCGCATCATCTCCCGTAATTATCATATCATATACATAGACAATTAAAGTAATCACCTTCCTTTTTCGATGCTTTAGGAAGAAGGTATGGTCCGAATTACTTTATTGGTAGCCATATTTTATCATAGGCGACTCGAATCGGCTTCCCTTTTCGATGCTTTAGGAAGAAGGTATGGTCCGAATTACTTTGTTGGTAGCCATATTTTATCAAAGTCGACTCGAATCGGCCAAACCATGCCCGAGGTGATCTGTTTCAACCAATACAAAGCTCATTCCAACTTGCAAACAAACTTGGTTTCGGATGAAGTTGTATAGCCTAGTGGGATGTCCATGTAGACTTTTTCCTCTATGTAGACTTTTTCTTCAAGATCTCCATAGAGGAAAGCATTCTTCATGTCGAGTTGAAGTAGTGGCCAATCTAAATTTGTTGCAAGAGATAATAATACTCTAACAAGTATTTAGTTTAGCTACCGGTGAGAAGGTTTCTAAATAGTGTGTGCCATATGTTTGAGTAAACCCCTTCGCTACAAGTCTTGCCTTATACTCGTTAATTAATTTGTCAACCTTGTATTTTATAGAAAATATCTATTTACACCCCTATCATTTTTTCCCTCTAGTAGTGGAACTAGCTTTTAAGTGTTATTCTTCTATAAAAGCCTCCAACTCTTCTTGTATCGCTTGTGCCCATTTTCCGTCTGGCTAGAGCTTCGTAACATTACTTGGAATATGGCAAATGGACAAAGTTTGAGTAAAGGTCTTGACGAGTTCGGATAGCTTTTGAGTGGACAAATAATTTGCAATTGAATACTTGGATCTTCTCTCCTCCTCACGAGGGGAGTATCTATTTAGTGGTTTTCCACGATTATGTCCGAAAGGTAAATCATATCAAGAAATATCCAAAGTATTAGTATATGAAGGAGTGGTAGATGAGTTTACCTCGAGAGTATTCTCGACAAGAGAAGATTCGAGCACCGAGGTGAAAGGGGGTTCTATATTTGTAGTCTTCATTTACGGGTTCTTCACTATCAAGTCCATTATCAACATTCACCACTTCCTTACTAATAGATTCGACATTTACCATTCCTCACTAATAGATCCATCTCAAATATTCAAAGGTGGTACCCCATTTTCATCACCTTCGGGTCATCAACCATTCCGAAGTTATCTTTTAATTTTTTTTTATCCTTAAACTCTTTATGAAAAGTTGAATTCATAACTCGGGTGGTGGAAAAAAGGCTCAAATTTAAGAAATGTCACATCCATTATGATATAGGTGCAATTGGTTGTTGGATCTAGGCACTTGTAGCCCTTTTTATGCGATCCATAGCCCAAAAACAAGCACCTAACTACACATGAATCCAGCTTGGTACGCCGATTCTCATGAAAAAGGACAAATGCAACACACCCAAAAATCCTAAGTGGAAGCATAAGGATTGTAGGTAAGGAAACATGAGTAGCTAACACTTGTAAAGGAGTTTTGAAGTTCGAACTCGGACGACATCTAATTAAGCAAGTATACGAGCAGCAAGAATCGCATCATCCCAATGGCGACTAGGAACATGTGTGCCAAGGAGTAAAGCTCATGTAGTCTCTAGTATGTGTCGATTTTTCCTCTCGGTAATGGCATTTTGTTATGGAGTCCGAGAGCATGATGTTTCGTGGAGAAGACCATGGTGTTGAAAGTAGGTCCGAAATTAATTATTAAGGTACTTTTCACCATTGTCCGACCGAAGTACTTGAATGTCGGCGGAATATTGGAAAGCATTCTTCACGTCGAGTTGAAGTAGTGGCCAATCTAAATTTGCTACAAGAGATAATAATACTCTAACGGTATTTAGTTTAGCCATCGGTGAGAAGGTTTCTAAATAGTCTATCCCATATGTTTGAGTAAACCCCTTCGCTACAAGTCTTGCCTTATACTCGTTAATTGATTTGTCAACCTTGTATTTTATAGAAAATATCCATTTACACCCCTATCATTTTTTTCCCTCTAGTAGTGGAACTAGCTTTTAAGTGTTATTCTTCTATAAAAGCCTCCAACTCTTCTTGTATCGCCTGTGCCCATTTTGTGTCGGCTAGAGCTTACGCAACATTACTTGGAATATGGCAAGTGGACAAAGTTTGAGTAAAGGTCTTGACGGGTTCGGATAGCTTTTGAGTGGACAAATAATTTACAATTGGATACTTGGATCTTCTCTCCTCCTCATGAGGGGAGTATCTATTTAGTGGTTTTCCACGATTATGTACGAAAGGTAAATCATATCAAGAAATATCCAAAGTATTAGTATATGAAAGAGTGGGAGATGAGTTTACCTCGAGAGTATTCTCGGCAAGAGAAGATTCGAGCACCGAGGTTCTATATTTGTAGTCTTCATTTACGGGTTCTTCACTATCAAGTCCATTATCAACATTCACCACTTCGTTACTAATAGATTCGACATTTACCATTCCTCACTAATAGATCCATCTCCAATATTCAAAGGTGGTACCCCATTTCCATCACCTTCTTGGGTCATCAACCATTTTGGAGTTATCTTCCAATTTTTTTTTATCCTTAAACTCCTTATGAAGAGTTGAATTCATAACTCGGGTGGTAGAAAAAAGGCTCAAATTTAAGAAATGTCACATCCATTGTGATATAGGTGCAATTGGTTGTTGGATCTAGGCACTTGTAGCC